TTGGGGGTGGGGGGTAAATATCAGAACATGAAGAGTGAAAGTACTGTCTTTTTTTTTTTTTTTTGGAATTTACTCAAACTCATATCCACAGATTCTAAGATTCTAAAAATTTTCAGCTTAATGTTTTGCTTTCAAAGTTCAGGTAAATAATCAAAATAATAGTGGAAATCATACTAGTCCTACTAGATCTAAATTTGGTTGAAGTGTCACCTTTTCCTGAGATTAAGTGGTCTGATTGGTATAAAACTCTAGCATGAAAAAGCAGTTACTCATTATGACAAATATACAATACCACGGTTTAGAGCTGCTTTTTAAAATCTGTTCAGCAGTCCTCATTAATTTTTATTAGAATAACTTACATCTCTATAGACCATTCCTGGAGAGCAAGAGTTATAAACATAATCTGTTTATGTCTGTGAATGCTACCAGATCTGGGTTGAAAAATATTCAGATGATGAGTTAGATGGCAGCAAAGATATGACTGATTACATGCCATCAGGTCATTTTCAACTACTAGCAACCACGTAGATATTCTTCATTATGATCTATCCATAACCTGTTCTTTCAAGTCTCCCAATGGTGCACCCATTGCCACTGTAACTAAGTCTATCCACTTTGCTGCTGGTCGTCCTCTTCTTGTCTTTCTTTCCACCTTTCCCAGCATTACAGCCTCTTCCAGAGCTGGGTCTCACATAATGTGTCTGAAGTACAATAATCTGAGCCTGGTCATTTGTGCCTCGAATGAGAACTTTGGGTTGATTTGTTCAATGATCCATTGGTTTGTTTTCTTGGCTGTCCATGGTATTCTCAGGAGTCTTCTCCGACACCAAAGTTCAAAGGCGTCAATACTCTCCTTATCCTGCTTCTTTAAAGTCCAACTTTCTCTTCCATAAAGTGTTACTATGGAATACCATGCCTTGCACAATTCTGATTTTTCTAAGTATAGATATATCACGGCATTTGAATATTTTTTCCAAGGCCTTCATGGTTGCTCTACCAAGTGCTAGTCTGCGGCGTATTTCTTGACTGCTTATTCCTTTAGGATAGTTGATCCTAAAAGGCAGAAGCTATCCACAGCTTCGATATCTTCATTGTCAAGTCTAAGGCTGGTTATTCTACTTGTTGTCATTAGTTTGGTCTTCTTTATATTTAATGTTAGTCCCATTTTTTTCACTGTGCTCTTTGACTTTTAGTGCTAGGGCTTGCAGATCCTTTGCATTTTTGGCTATCAGAGTAGCGTCATCAGCATAGCACAGATTATTGATCTTTCTTCTTCCAATTTTAAAACCATGTATAGAAAACCCTAACCCTTTGCTGCCATCTAATGGGCTCCAAGAGATGTGCAGCCCAGATCTGGTAAATTCAGATGTAACAGCAAAAGACAATTAGCACATATTGTAGTTTGAAAGTAAATTCAAATTAGGCCTTGATATTATGGTGTAGCAGTCTCTCATCTTATGATTTTGGCATGCAGAGGCTGTCGCTCATTATTTTAGACTGAAAATGTCATACTGATTTAAAATGCACTCAATAAAATAGAGTGATCTTGGTCAGGTAGTCCATTTTGGGATTCTGAAAACATGTTATGATTACAGGAAGTTCGTGGGTTAAGAACACCTGGGTTACAGATGACCCATAGTTAAGAATGGAGCCTACTGTAGCAAAATTTGAGTTAAATACACAATGGTTCGAGTTCATTACATAATGCTACTTATACAGTATTATATAATAATACTGTTCTGGCTTACATACAAATTCGATTTAAGGTCAGACCTTGGGAACGGAACTCGTTCTTAAACTGAGCATTACCTGTACTCACACATAGTGGTCGTGGCTAATCAGAAAATGCAAATTTACCAGAAAGCAAACCGATCCACAATATCCTCTTTACCTTTCCTCTCTACCTTATCACTACATTTTTTCTGGTCACTTCCAAACAACATATTTTGCAGCCCTATTTTGTTTTTCTATTCTAACAATGTATTAAGAACATAAGCATTCTTGGAAATAAAGATAATCCTTCAGGATGACACTCTGTTTTGAAGCATGTTAGATTCCCAATTCTTTTTCATTAAAAGAACAAATAAAATATAATCAATGAAGCCTGGAGCCAAAACGGCATCAGAGGAAGGTAACCATGAATTAGTGAGACCACATGAAATTTCCAGTGTGAACTCTAAATAGTTTTATTGCAGCAAAATACAAGTTATCCTTTTTTTTCCAAAAGTAAAAGAATATCCTAAATGTTGGGCTATCCACAGCCCACAAAGTTTGCCTAAAAATCCTATACTTGATCTCCAAAATGACCTCAAGTTGTTTCAGGCCTCCCCTACATGCATGGATATATATACCTCTGTGCACCTCGTATCTGTTCTAGAGTCCTCTGAAACAGATTTGAGGAGTGGGTGGAATAAAAGAAAAAAAATGCTGTTAGTAGATACTATTCTATCAACTGACCTAAAATGCTGGAATTTAAAATAACTGCATAGGTTGAGTGACATAACAAGGCACACTTTCAGAAAGAATATTCAATTATCTGCCTCTATTTTAATAAAACCACACATGCTTTGTCCTAGTGGAGATTGGCAACAATCATTGTTGTTCTTTTGAAGTTACTCTCCAAAACAAGGACACTGGATTTTTGCTAAATCATTCATATTTTTTGGGTGGAAAACACATTTTTACACAAATTTTAAAAAAGCCATCTTTATCATTAAACACAACTAAGCCTATTTTGTTAATTGGTTAACTAGAGGGTTTTTTGGGGGGGGGGCTGAAAGTTATTTTCTTATTGGAGGAACATTTTTATAAAGATTTTAAAGTATCATACAAAAGCTTTATTCTAAAATAATTTTCCACCTATAAAAAAAGATTGTTGAAAATTGTATGGAAGAATTAAGTTACAGTTCAAAGCGGAGACTGGAAATTTTGAAAGATACAGTTCTGATGTACATAAAATATATCTCTCATCTATTGCTTGGCAGAACTCCAGGTTATTGCTTTGTACATTCCCATTTTTGTTGCTATAGCAAGAGAAAAAAACATTGTGTTTCCAGGTAACAGTAGGCAATAAATCCTAAAATATTTAGTCTTGGTTTATAGTTAATTTTAAACATTCTTGGCTCTGAATATCAAGTTACTTTCCAAAACAGTTGCATTTTTTACTCCAAAGTTTATTTTTGTAATAAGCTTCAACATAAATATCACATGAAAATATACAAAATAATAAAACCAAAGCATATAATAGTGTAAGAGTTATATTAACCCCATGTAGGAAACCTAATCCATACAGAAACTCTTTTCAATTATTCTTAAATAATATAAAACAATTTCTTAATTATATCCTTCCAAAACACATAATCTAGTTCAAAGTTCCTGACCTTTAGTAGTCAGGAATTGTTTAGTAGGAATTATTTAATAGAATATTTAGTAATGCGGTATCTCACTGCTCAAGCTGGTGAGTTTTGAAACCAAGGTAGCTATATGTAAAAGGATGTATGAATGTTGTTTGTGACATCACCATAAACTGAAAACTTGGTAACCATCTTATCTACTATCATTACAATATATTTCTATCCTTTATTGTTTTGACTGTGGCACTTGCTTTTATATAAATTTAAAACCAAACTTAACATTTTGCTTTAAAAACATATCATTCCTGTCTCTCTCTCAAAAGTAACCTCACTGATTCAACAGAATTTAATCACACAGAACTAAGGGAGAGTATTTTACTAATCCCAATAAAACTGCACATCAATATATAAGTTCTCTATAACTTAAA